TACTAGCAATGGGGTCTCGAGCCCCCTGGTAATCAGGAGCTCCACATGCCCTGAACTCTCTGAATGTTAGCGTGCGCGACCCCATCATGGCCGCCACCTCAGTACGAAACGTACTCAATCTCTCATCCATAAGCTCCAGAATACCCTCCTAGATCGAACCGAATATCACAGGAGTCTGCTCAAGTATGCTACGCGTGATATCTGAGGAGATGAACTCCCTAGTCTGCTCATCCAAATGCTCGACTACAGAGCCTGAACATGAACCCTCTCCGAAACCTGAACTGCCAACTGCTGGTCTGGGGCGCAAAACCACCATTCTGAAAACATATAATGACAAACGTCAGAAATACTGATATAACTCGAGGGATCACATCTACTACAAGTTCCCTGGTCTTGTCTCAACCTTCCCCGCTATAGTACGGATCCTCTGCTTTCAGTAGTATGGGCTCATACTACCTTCCACGTCTATCCGTACTTTCCTCAAGGACTACCTTGACTACACCAAGTCCTTTCTACTGCTACTGTTCTCTGCTACTCTCATCCTAGACTTGCCCTAGGGTACATCATCATCCCACTCTCCGCCATCAGCTGCATAAGAAATCCCTGCTTTCTTCCCTTAACGAGCTCGCGAATACTATTACATATTACTCAGACTAGATAATTCTTCGAATGAGAGGTCCTATCCTACAACGGTTGGACTCAAACAAGAGCTGCGAAGTAGAGCTAGACCTAACCTTCTGAAATTATTTAGTCCTTGCAATATGTAACTTAACATATTCGTTTACTAGTTAGTGGAAGACAGCTAGAACTCCTAAAAGCACAAAGCAAGCAGCATTCGGACATCGAGTACACATAATCAAGCGTATACTACTCACGCTATCATCCTGAGTAATCTGTACTAGCATGCAGTTCTCATAAAGCTGAAACACATATAGCAGGCACATAAGGCATCCTTCCTAGATCCTTAGTCCTAATCTAGCATGCTGTTCTAATAAAGCTGATAATCATAACATAGCATAAACCTGTATGGGTAATTTGGGAGTACTTACTTGAGCTCGGCTGATTACATGCACCACACCCTTTCTCAAAGTTCTTTTCTATTTTCAAAATCCTTTTTGTAAAAATGCTTTTTCTTTTGAAAATTTCTTATACCATTTCCTTAGTTTGAGTTCAGACACACCCGGAAGTGTGCCCGAATCCCTCAAACCAAGGCTCTGATACGAACTTGTAACATCCCAAAAACACGTCCCAAAAATTTTGTTTATTTTATTCTAAAACCCATATCCAACCAGAGTGAAAATAGAAAATCATGTCTCATGTATCTCAAACATCATAATACATCCACTGAATAAAACATGTGCTAAAATATTAGAGTGAAAATCCCAGGCTAATGACTGTGGTGTGTGCCATGCGATCATCCCGAGCTCTTCCCTTTCCTACCGGAAGTACCTGAAACCAAAACTGAAACTATAAGCACGAAGCTTAGTGAGCTCCCCCAAACTACCACATACCATACAAGCACATATAACAAACAACATAACTCTGGGACTGCTCCCACTGCATCAGGACGAATCCCAACATCGGCTTACCCGGCATCGGATTCCTGTCCGGCATCGGGCTCACCCCGGCATTCGACTACATCGGGCATCGGGCTCACCCTGGCACATACATAACAAAACATATATCATAAACACATAACATAATCACATAATCTGCATCGGGCTTGCCCCGACATCGGACCGAAGCCCGGAGCATCTCACATATAACACATAAACTAGCATACATCGAGCTTACCCCGGAACACATACCACATAACATATGACATAAGTACATCTACTGCATCGGGTTTACCCCGGAACACATAACATATAACATAGCCTCATATACTACATCGGGCTTGCCCGACATCGGACCGAAGTCCGGAACACATAACACATAACACATAAACATGCATGAATCACAAAGACATCAAGCATACATAGCTACTTCTCGGGACCGCCCCGGCATCGGACCGAAGTCCGGAAACATATAGCCTGTATCGGGCTAACCCCGGCATCGGGCTCACCCCGACATACTCTACTACTTAAACGGGTCGGCATTGGTGCTTTAGACCTGTTCCTACTGAAGGAAAACTCACCTCTCATTCTGACTGCTGAAAACTCGTGTGAGGTAATCTTGTCTGCTGCTCTAACTACTCCACGACTATCATGACCAAATAAACACTTAGTAAAAAACTGGAGATTCTTCTATGGGGAAAATGACTATTTTACCCCTGCTATGGTGTGGGTCATAACCAAGGCCCAAACCCCTTTAATCTTTCTAAGTCCGCTAACGATCCAATAAAGACTCTCTACTATTTAAACGGGCCGGCATTGGTGCCTTAGACCCATTCCTACTGAAGGAAAACTCACATCTCAATCCGGCTGCTGAAAACTCGTGGGAGGTAATCCTGTCTGCTGCTCCAACTACTCCACGACTATCATGACCAAATAAACACTTAGTCAAAAACTGGAGATTCTTCTATGGGGAAAATGACTATTTTACCCCTGCTATGGTGTGGGTCATAACCAAGGCCCAAACCCCTTTAATCTTTCTAAGTTCGCTAATGATCCAATAAAGACTCTCTAATGGACCAATTTTCTAAATTGGGCCCAACATCTCAAATGGGCCTTTCTTATCCCAACAATGTCCATAGTCCATAAACAGGTCTCTGATGGCCCATTAAGGCCCAAAAGCTAAAAGTCTACTAGCTGGCCAACCTGAGGCCCAAAAAGGGTAAAAGCCCAATATTGTTGACTACGCGGGGCGTACTCCTCTATACGCAGCGTATACCTGCTGCATGGTCTGTACGCTGCGCGTACATGCTGGTACGCCCAGCGTACCACCATGTTAAGCTTCTTTGCCCATTAAGCACAATACTCAACTTAACAGGCTATAGCTACAGATCCAAGTCCTTTTTGATGTCTTAACCCCTAAAGTCGATCACTTGATGGTTTGCAAGCCACCAAATGAGCCCAAACATGGAATATTAACAACTAACTTCATAGGAGTGGCTAGATCTCATGCATGGCTTCACAAAAGCCTCAAAGATTGGAACTTTACTGCTATAGGAATGTTTTGAGCCTCAAGGATGGCAATCCCAAGCTAAAAAACGAAGTGGCATAATAAAGGTCCATCCTTTGGACCTAGAAAGGTCCAAAGCTCCATGATCTTGGATCTAAACTTCTAGGAGGAAAGTTTGAAGCTTTATACCTCCTTTAAGAGCCACAAGAGGAAATAGTTCCAGACGTTTGAGCTCCTTGATCCTTGGTTCTTCTCCTTCAACTTCTCTTCACTTCTTCCAAGCTTTCCTTTATCCAAAAACAAGCTCAAGAGGTCAAACACACTTATCAATGGAGTAAAAGGTGTATTAGGGTTTTTCTGAGGGTGAAGGCTGGTAAGGAGGCCAGGGGTGTGGCTATAATGAGGTATTTATATGTCTTAAACCCTAAAATTAGGGTTTTGGCTCCTGCTCACGTACGCTATGCGTAAATCTGGTACGCTGCGTGTAGGTGTGCGCGCCTCCCGAATCCAATGCATGCCTCTACGCCTCGCGTACACCAAGACTACGCTCAGCGTACGTCTTATGGGCGGCCCAACTTTTGGCCCAAGAGCTCAAGTCCATACCAAAAATCCTTTATCCCATTTGGCCCAATGATAATCTATAAAATAAATAAATAAATACAACTAGTACCTCAATTGACGGTTGTTACATAGTATGTATGTTTAATTTGAAGTGCTTGTGCTTTTTTTTTTTTAAATATAATCTGATCAAACAAAACATGGTGGTATCTTGTTGTCGTGTGTTTTTTTATTTAATCTTTGGTGTATGAAATAATTGTTTGTTGTATTTTTTGATCTCTAAAACGATCCTCCATTTCAATGCTTCATGTGATGTTTGTTTTGGTATGTAAAGCAATCATCCACTGCAGTTTTTCATGGTAATTTTTTCAATCTATATGAAAAAAGGAATTTTTTATTTAAAAAAAAAAGAATTATATCAACGGAATAGTGACGGAAACATTTGTCACGAAAAGTATAGAGTATACGTCGGTAATTTGTCACCAAAAATGCCCGTTGGTACTCCGTCACTAGAAGTGTCCGTCGGTAATCCGTCACTAAAAGTGTCCGTCAGTAATCCGTCAGGAAATTTGTCTGTTGGTACTGCGTTCCTATTTCCGTTGGTAATATTGTCGTCGCTATTCCGTCGGCAATAGTCACAAACTCCGTCGGTATTCCGTTGGTAATATTTACCCACGGGCCTTTTTACGACAGACCGAATTCCGTCGGTATTCCATCGGAAATCGGGTTTAGTGTCGGATTTCCGACAATATGGCTGGCGGAAATTGCCACGTTTTCTAGTAGTGTTATAACCTAATCTCTCTATGCTAATAAAAAAATTGTTATTTTATCATGTGTTACTCTATTATGTCTTTTAATTAATGTCATACTACTTGTCAATCTATTGATTCTCCATTCAAATTTTAAAATTTAAAATTTTCATTCTAATTACATTAAATTAATAACATTAGAATAAAAAATTAAATAAAATAAACAAAAATTATTACGTGATATAATTTCACGTATTTATTTGAATTAACGATTATAACTTTATATAATTAAAAAATATCTTTTAATAATTTTAAGTTTTTATTATGAAATTTTAATTATTTTTATAATGGTAGTTAATTTATATTCTAGTGAACAATATATCAACTTTTCCATGATTTGACCGGGCCACATGGATCAAAAGTTTATTTTTTGTCATTTGTTTTTATTCAGAAAAAAAAAGCGAGAAGTAGCGCATATATTCAGTCGCGGAAAAAAAGTAACTATAAAATACGAGTATCAGTTTTTAGGGTTTTGGCTTGCGATCTCTCATTCCTTGCTTTCTCGATTTCAGAGCATGGTTCCATTTAGTCTTTTTTAAAATAGCCAGAGCAAATTCCCGATTAACAGCCATGGCGGATTGTGTTTCTTCCTCTTGTAAAAAAGTATCCATGCCAGCTTGAAACCTTTAGTTTTATATTCTTCACTTTGCTAACATATGAATACCTTCACAATAACAGTGTACTTTTCCCTGGGGCTAACTTCTTTCTGATGGTTCTGCAGAGATTCAATAAATACGAAAAAGTTAGAGTGACAGGAGGAAATCACGAGGGGGAAGTCGGACTTTTTCTACTACCTTTGTTTTCCATTATGACGGCTGAGGGGAATGTAAGTGTAAATGAACAATATCTGAATACAATCTTGATCTCCTTCATTTTCTACAATTAGGAGAACAAAACAACATTTTAAAAACCTGTGAATCTTTACAGATAATCAATGTGAAACAGCACTTCGTGGAGGGTTACAACAATACACCCATGACACCTGTAAGTGTAAATCGTTAAATCAAGTACATTTTTCCCTTTTTAGATAATAAGGCGTCAAATTCTTAGCAGTCAAACGTGATAAATCCAGATTAATTTCAAAAAGCATAATCAAAAAAGAAAAACAAAATTTCTCAAAAAGTAGCAAAATGATCATTCTACATTACCTTCAAAAACCAAACGTAGAAACTTTAAAGTAAGAAACAAATCATGATTAAAACTGCCTCAGAAATATAATACTTACAATGAAGTATTTGCCAGTGACTCTTCAAATTAGGCAAGAACTACACAGCAACAACCAAAACTAATTAAAACCTGTAAATTTTCCTTGAAGGCTTAATAAGAGAACATAATGAATCTGTAACAAAAAATTGATTATAACATATCATTAATGCCACAAATGCCCATATCTATACATTTACACCAATTGCATAAAACCAAAAATCTGATTTCACAAACTTGAAAGTATGATGTTGTATATAGTTAACAACCAAGGAAAGTACTTTGCTATTTGTTGCTGAAGTTGATAGTTTTATGAAAAGTTACGATGTTGTGATAGTAAAATATTGAGAGTATGATGCTATAATAAACAAACCAATAAAAATATGTTGCCATTGCTTGCCTTCTGGCATATCTAATAAGTAAATAAAATGTCACCAAAACGAACCAATAAAGATTCTTTAAAATGGGAACGTGGTATTAATTTTAGGTGATACCTTTTATAAACGACTTTAAGTCCTCCACACTTGACAAAATTGCAAAGTTCGGGGCCACTTGTGAAAATCATCCCACTAAGCTCTCGTATTACCTATATAAGGTCAATGAATGTCAATAACATTTTTGAAAAAAAAAAATGAAGAGTGAAATACATGGATCGGAGAGATGAGAATTTGTTAAATAAGTTTAATCTTGAATACCTTACTTCTTTCTTTCATGTTGGGGTATTAAGAGAACAAAATGAATATGCAACAAAAAATCAGTTGTAACATCACCTTCGCCACAAATGCTCAGATATGTACGTTTACACCAATTGCTTAAATCCAATTTCCTGATTCCACAAACTTGAAAGTATGATGACATAAATTACAAACCAATGAAAGTATATTGCTATTTCTTATTCTAATTGATAGTTTTATGAAAGTATGATGTTGTAATCCAAATCCTGATTAACTTCCCTACATATGACTCTTGCAGATAATCAATGTGGAACCACAACTTTTGGCTGCTAACAACACCACCACTGAAGTGGATTCTGCTATGCGGATGCCTCGTGCGAGATGTATGTTGGTTTTTCACCTTTTTTCTTGTCATTGTCAATGATACGTTTTGATTAAACACTTTACAACTTTTTTAATCTAACAAAAGAAAGCAGTCGATATCCAACAAAAGAAAGTTAAGAAGCCACATTAAAATAAGAAAGAATTTCATGTATGTTTTTACTAAAGATCAAAAATCATGTTTATCCTGTTTAATTTTTAAATATCGTATTTATCTTTTATAAACTTTAAAATGTCAGATTTAATTAGTTTTTTTTTTATATTTTATATTTTTTTTACATTCTTAATTTTGACAATTGATTGTTATACATCTCTTATAAATCTAAGTATAAAATATAATTTATACCTTTCGTAATTGAAGCTTTTTTTTAACATCTTTTACAATTGATTATTTTTAACAATTGATTACTATAGTTATCTAAATAATTAATTCCTATTCAAGTAATTATGCACTCTCGTCGCTTCTATTTTCATCATTGAAGCTTGAAAGAGGTAAAGATCAAAATCTTTCTTTAATACAATTAAACCAACAGATAGATCTAGAAGAAGGCACAAGTATCGCACCTCAAGGCGATATGGTAAGTACAAACAACATGAAAAACCATGCATGAATCTCGCACCTCAGGGCTCGGATCCAAGTAAAACATCCACCTCTAAAAGGTTACTCAATTTTTTAATTTCCTTTGTTTTATTCATAAACAGATGTCGGTGCTTATACAATGCTAATAATATTATGTATTTTAGGAGACGTGGAAAGAATAAAAAATCCCGTGGTAGCTTGGCGGTATAGGTTATATGTGAATAAAATAATT